AGATGCCCTAGGGCAGACTGACAGCAGCGAGGCTGCCATATCGCGCCATCGGCCCCTCTGGCCAACACCAGTAGGCAGTAGGTGAAGTGTCTTGTACAAAGACACAACAACCGAGACAGACAGAATAGGGGATCGAGCCGGCAACCTTCCGGTTACAAGATGAGCTTCCCAACCCCCTGAACCATGGTTGCCCCTGCAAGCTAAAGTCAAATAAAAGAAAAGATAACACTTGAGTTACAAAACGAGTTGTATGTTTTTAGTCATAAACACGCACAACTAGATTTTTCCTTATTTGCCTCTGAGGTATCTGAATATTCATGTCATTGAAAGGCATGACACACTGACTGATGGTCTTGGCTTTCTTTTTTTTTTTGTTTTTAGCTTTGTGCTGTTTAAAATTGTGATTTTTGTGCTAGTGTGCAGGAGCACGCAGGTGACATGAAGTGATCGAACTCATAGCAGCTATATATCTGAATGGGTTGGTGAGTGTCACCTGAGCCCCCCCCCGTATTTCATACTGGGATTATCACTGGTTGGTCACTGTTTGCCTGGGGATTAAAACATCGTGCCTTACAAGCCTTTAAAGCTGTCGCCAACAGGTCTATTTATGAATGAGCAGTCAAAGTGAAACAAGGCTTATGTAATGTCATTCTGTGCTGTTTTACTGGCCAGTTTGTACATCTGTCTTGCATAAAAGGGGACATAAGCTGAAAATCTGCTTGACCCCCCCACCCTGTAACCACTTTCAAATTCAACCCTGTTGAAGTACATTCCCATGCATATCCAACCCCTCATAATCCCATGATATAAAAGCTTGACTGTAACAAAGCAAAGGAGTATCTTATTGTCTTTCCTTTTTTTTTCCTATTGAGGGAAAGAGAAGAGCCCTGCCTTTGCAAGACGTGAATGCTAACAGCTTTGCTCCTGGCATATTTGTGTAAAGAGTGAGAAAATAGCTAGGGAGGACTTTGAAGGTATCATTCACACTGCCTAACAAAGGAAACAAACTGCAGCGTTCATTTTGTGACAAAAAGATTAATGGCACTAAGAATGGGATTGCTTTTAGATCGAAACATGAAAAAAAAACCCCACATCAGACGATATTAATGTGCCATCAAACCAAGTTTATATACTTAAACTATAAAGGTTTTGTAAATGATAATTACCTTAAAACAAGGACGGGGGGGTACTCATCCATGCATAACTCATCAGAAGCTGTTAACGATGGCTGTCATTAAAATTCGCTTCATCTGATGTCACATTTTACGGCTGTGATATCTGGAATATTGTGTGCGTAGGGACATGCTTGCTGCTGGCTGCCGGCAGCCTGGTTGGGTGTGTGCAGGCGTCAGTTGCGAGTGTCTCGCCTGTCTAAGGTCATCTCGTCAAAAGCCATGGGCTCAGTCAGAGCCGGGGGCCGTGCTGGCTCAATCCATAAGTGATTTTTTTTGTGTTTGTGTGGGTGACAGGTGGTGTGAGGAAAACTCGATAACCCTGAAAAATATGTTGATATCATGTAACAAAAGATTTTACAGCCCGTATAGCCATATTATTTTACTCGTTCATTCTCTGCAATAAATGTCAGTTTGAGCTGCAATAATTTACAGAAAGATCTGCATGAAATGCAATGAATGTCTCGTTTAATTGCTTTATTTTTAGTGATGCATATCCATCTTTTTTGCAGTTAATCCAAAACATTTTATCTAATCACTGTATTCTTATTCTAAAATGATCTTTCACAAAGCATTTACTATAATTGCCAAGGTCTTTACCATCAATGATTAAGTTTGTAAAATGCAAAAGAAATCATCTGCACCATCTCTCAGCTATGAAATGAAAAGCAATGTTTTATTTAGCAAAATGAAAAGTAAACAGTGGTTCCGACTACACAGAAAACCATTAAAATCATGTATCTTAAAGTGTTTTAAAATAAAGATAAGTTGACACCAATTAAGGCACTGCACTGCAGAGGCTTCTGCTTCAAAGTGGGGCTGTATAAAGTGTGAAAAAGTGTGTTTACTGCGAAGCAAAGACTAGACATTAAAAAAACAGACCCTAAAATCAATGTACAGGCTCATTCTAATACAGTGCTACAGTGTGACAGGGCATGAACCCAGCTGGGCTTGTAACCGAGCCAAGACTCATTGGTATTCCTCTGGGGTTACTGCTAGGTAAAAGGTATCAATAGATGCACATGGCCTTGGTACGTGACTCTGACATGACTTACTGTGTGGGGTCCTATAATTTATTTTGTTTCCAACATGTGGCTGTTTTTATCCTTCGGGGCAAGACTGTTACACCTTTAACTTATTCCCACATATGGCTCTTGCAGTGGTGATATAACAAAAATAGTCACATTGTCAAACCGATAGACAGGCTAACTGACAGTCCGATCGGGGCAGGCGGGGAGAATGAAATGATTAGGGAGAAAGAAGAGAGTGGGAAATTTTTAAGGCGGAACGGGCTGAAATGTTGACAGGATGGGACGGGGGAGGGGACTGATTGACAGTGTTATAGCTGCGCAACAAGCTGGCATGCCCCTTTTTTTTCTCCTCCACCCATCTGTTCGCAAGGATTACTCATAGAGACGGGTGGACAGGAGGAGAGAGGAAGCTGGAGGAAGAGGGCAGGGAGGAGAGGAGATCCATCATCGCAACCTGCAATAACTGAATTCAAACCACTTTTCCATGACTTCTTTTCAGTTAAATAAACTGCTGCGATAATGACTCACTGTTAAAATTATGGCTCACTGCAATATAGTAGAGGGCTCTCATGGGGCTATTGAGGTAACAATGATATTGCCGGAAGGTGGAAACACTGTAGTGATGTGTTATGTAATTGCTGAGTGTGCTCTACTTACTAAGACTATTGCTCCACAGAACGCTGTATAGCAGTGGCCTGTTGGCTGTGCCACTCACAAGCCATTATATTTGCTGCTCAGTATTCATTTATTTATTTATTTTTTATTTATTTATTTTGTTCCTGTCTTGCAATGCAGATTTACATTCCTAAGTGGACCTCAGTATTACAAAAGCAATCACATTCTTTCCAGCCTTCTAACATTTATACATTACTACTTGATAATGACTGTAAAACTCCCTGCACTGTTAATCTAAATGTGTTAATTCGCATCAATGCACCACGCTCCTGTCTGTTTGCGTGTCCTCTGCATGTGCACTGGAGTGTGCTGATTATCAGGTGAGCAGCAGATGATGCCAGGACATGTGGCTGCTATTTATCCAGTCATAAACAATCCCCTGTGTTCAAACAGTTGCTGAGTAATTACACTAACCCATGGTGGCCTTTTAGGCTGTGGATTTATGGGGACTTTGCCTGTTTTTATTATGTGACCTTAAGGATTTTCCATGTTTACACTTGAATCTGTTCCCAAAAAAAACCTTTATAGCACGTGTCTGACCTGTGAATGTCTCAGATAGCCATACTACTCTAAACAAAATCAAACTTAAATGATCTGTTATAATAATTTTCATGTCTTGCACTCGAGTAGCTTTACATGATTCACAGTTTCACAGTTCAAAACAATTGTCGAAAATAGGGCACTTCAGCTACTTTCGCACTCCTTTTAAACCAGCTGTCTTCTGATTGGCTTCCCCATTGTAAACAAAAGGGTTGACCAGGGTTATGGGTGGTGCTGTGTCCCAGAGATAACCATATTAGGGATATCCACGCTTACTGACAGCATACAGAGCCAAGAGTAGAAAAAACAGTCTAAAACTGAGCGTTTCGAGCTTGAGCTTTTGGCCCATAGAGTTTACTCGCATATAGGCTAATGGGGTTGTCGTAGCTATTCAGAGGTTACAGCATCCACAAGGTTTATTCTAGTGTTCTCGCTTTTCTTACTTGTACTTGCTGAGTGTATACACTGCAGATACAAACAGGGCAGAGCCAAGACTGCAAAGGGTATCAGTCACTGCCAGCTGTGAGTCATGCTCAACACTCAGCACTTTTCATCTATGCTAACTGACCTTTTTATTTGAAGTACAGCCAGGGATTGAGCCGCTTATAAAGTTCATAATATGATCTGTCATGTGTATTTACAAATTGAAAGATATTTGTAGGTCTGTTAGAGTCATACATTCGAGTAATATATATGTCTGTCAGAAAGAAAAAAATTCTGTATTTAGCGTATAATTGCAACCAAGTGGAGTTTATGGCTTTGCACAAACTGCAGTACCTCCTTGGAGCGATACTAACCGTAACACAATGGGAGCATATTACTAAGACGAAAATATAAAAAGAAATGCCAACTGAAAAAAATCACTAGAACAGACATGCCATCAGCAAAAACTGGGGCTGGGGTATTCGAAGAAGAAGAAGAAGCTGGCTGACACATTCAGTAACATCATTGTGCACACGTAGCATGTAGCTGCATTAGCATTACAAGTGAATCAGAGCAAAGCATAAGCACTTTTTATAGTCACTGAACCTGGGTGACCCTCTTCTTCTACTCTATAGGTAGAAGCATTATTCTCTCAGTTATACACATAAACAATTAGAATAACTGAGGAAATTTAAAATCAACATTTCAAAAGATGTTTCACAATTGTTAAGAAAATGATGTGAACAAGCAGCCACTTGCTCTAGCTGTTCTCAGAGAAGCGTAACACAAACAGATTTTTGAATCACATTTACAGAAGAAGAATGGGTCAGCATCCCGAGAATGTCACATGTCACTCACATTGGAATAACCGGAAGCAACCATCATTCAGACTCACAATTTCATCATATATATAGAACTCGTTCAGACTCCTGTCTCCTCTCATGCTGCCATATCATCAACTACATAATGACATAATCTGCTTAGCTACCCATTAATGACTTAAACCTCTGTTTTATGTATTCTCCCTATATAATGATTTTTTACATCTCTATGCTACTTTTAAATTCAATAATATATCACTCATTAAAGAGAGAACGATGTAAATTGGCACATCATGGAGAAAATGTAGTCAAGCACTTAGAAGCAATCTCTGACTCACCTCCGAGGATTTATTCTCAGCTGCTGTTTGTCTTCAACGGATATTTCAACCTGAAAAAACAAGACGGAAATGACTATAAATAAGGAGTTTACCTCAGATTAGAAATACTATAAATAATTAACGTCTAAGCATTCATGGGGAATGACGCTGACTCCTTTGACATTATGTAGCAAGGGTGCTTTTACTGCATAATATTTGGCAAAGAAATTCTAAGTCTATTTAAAGTCTATCACAGCTTCCATTTATGCCAACTCACGCCAGATACCTAATCAGCATCATGTTAGAGGGAAGGATTTGGAGTTAAAAGACGTGTTCACTGCTCTCAAAAAAGACCTTGGATTTCAAAAAAGACTCTGAAGCTTCAATTAACTAAATACACTTGGCAAACGCTTATTTAGACCTCTTTGATTTATTCATTGCACAAGGCCAGTGTTACCCACCAGCACTACATAAATACATGGGCACCTCCACTTATCTCTCCAGGGAATACCCAGTAAATGACTGCATATTGCTGAACACAAGGACGTCAGTCAATAACCAAAATCTCTCCTGTCATTTTTATTACTTTTATCTCCACTAGGGACACACGCACAAATGAAAGGTTACCCACCACCATACACGCGCTTGCACGCAGCGACCTCTGCTTCCCCCAAATGGGCGTCCCTTCGTGACCGTGAATGCATTATCATAATCTCCTGAGAGATACTCCATTCATCTCATATTAGCAAAACAAATGTGACAGACAAAGGACGGCGGCACATTTGGACGTGAAGCCATTAAAACTGTAGTTAGCTCAGATGGGAAAGATGGTGAGTCATGCAATAAAGCGAGGTTGAGCTGTTTGAATTTACTAGATGATGTAAAAAGACGAGAAAGGGTTCTTGATCTATTACTTAGATGCTATCACTTAGAGGAAGAACCTGGATGTTACAGCCTAAGCCCAAAATGTGATCTGAAGGAAGTAAACAATAAAAATGGAAGGCAGTTTGTTATTGTATAACCTCACCTTATAATTAAACAAACCCTGCATCAATTTCATCTTAATGAAGATGACTGAAAGTGCATTGATTTAAATGTGTCAGGATAAACTGAATGAATTTTTCATTGTGATCTGATCTGAAATGATCTTATCCGATTTGAACTGAGCTGCATTGATCTTATCTCAGCTGAGTTGAAACAAATTGAACTGAGACAAAAGGGGGCACAGATCAGGGAAAGAGGAAGAAACAGTACGAGATGTTAATGAATGGAGGCAGGAATGTAGCAAGACTTATAAAAAAAAAAAGGCAGAGCGAGGACGATGAGGGGGAAAGAGTGCTTTAAGAGAAAGAGAAGAAGAACAAACATTAAAAAATGAAGAGAGAGCGGGAATCAAAAGCATCCATTTTTAATCGGCAAATCTAAAAGTGCTTCATCATCTTCGCGCAAGGAGGGGGATGGAGAGAGATACACATATAGTATAAAAGGAGAGGAGAGGAGAGCTGGGAGGTGCTACAAGAGCAAAGCTAGCAGAGCTGACCCCATGCTCTAGCAGGTTGCCATGGAGACAAAAAAGAGACATGCAGAGAAGAATAAAGAATACAGTTTCCCTTTCAAGAAAACACTTAAACATTTGGGGACCGAACCAAACTATAACAAAACTTTGGGGGTGTATGTAGGTTTGTGTTCAAACAGTCAAGTTAGCATAAAGTAAATCTGGTTTCAATAGCTTCATAAATTGGGTGTAAAAATAGCGATTATTTGTGAGACCTGGGTTAAGGAGAGAGAGAGAGAGAGAGAGAGAGAGAGAGAGAGAGAGAGAGAGAGAGAGAGA